GGCGGCACTCGGTAGTGGCGCACCGGTCTTTTCTCGGCTATAAACGGCCGGTCGTTGCCGGGGACTTTTCAGAAAGTCGGCGTCCCGGTCTTTCAACGGCTATAAACGGCCGGACGTTGCCGCGGGCTTTTCCAACGTGAAAGACACCGCGGTCTTTTCTTCTTTCCTTGAAGAAGTCGCGGCCGGCCTTGACGGAGTTCCAGTGGGCGAGCGGCAGCCGGATGCCGCGTAGTTGACCCATTCGTCGTGGCCTTCTCTGCATTTCTTGTCGTCCTTGGCTGGAGACATCCTTCCTTCCTTCTTGCGCTTGAGGGCGAAGACGGCGCGCTTCGACTTGGTCCTTCTTGTCGACGGGCATGGCCACGCGATCCGGACACATAGAAAGTGCGAAGGCCAAATAGGGGCAAAAAGACTTCCCTTTCAATCGAATCCTCCATGGGATGACGCCGCTTCTTGCCATGTAGAGCTTCTTGTCCTTGCGCTTGATCCACATCTGCTTGACCAACTTGTCCTTGACTGGGCGGCGGCTTGAGCGGCTGCTTCTTGGCTTGGGCTTTTCCTGATGTTGCGTGAGTTCGGAATCCTTGATCGCCAGTTGTTGTGTCTTGATAGAGTGTGGTGCGCAGCGGGACGAACAGTTTACGAACAACTGTTTATTCGGTGAGCAACATGGCGGCAAGAGGAGGAGAAATTAGAACCGAATTGGAACTGGGGAAATAAATGCCATCGCTGGCCCAGTGGGGAGAGAGACCCCGCTACGGTGGAAAGGGCACTGGATAGGCGAGGGGCCGGGGGCGAAGGGAAAAGGCGGGGGCGCTCGAAGGCGCTCCGCAACACTTTTATTTTGCAGGAAGAGTGTCCAGAAGGGTTTTCACAAGTTTTTCGGTCCTATTAATCCCAAGGAGTTGCCTGGCCAAAAAAAATGAAATTTCGAAAATTTTGGAATTTTTTGGAAAAAAGGCCCAGCTACGTATTCCAGTTCGATGAAACCCAACCGAATAGTTAATAAATATTATTTTTGAACCGATATTGTAAAAATAGAATTATTCTGGCAATCTGAAATAGCTCGGGGCTCCGATTTGAAGCGCCTAGGGGTTAGAGCCAGCTATTTTAAGCAGCTTCCGACCCTCCCAGGATCCGGGGCTATGGGATAGGTGGTCAAAATGTTCGTGAAAAAATATTTTCTAGAGAAAATTTTCTTCGGGTCCGGAAAGCGTTCTAGTGTCGTGGCGGCTATGAAAATTCCATCAAAACATTTTTTTCCCCAGCCGGAACGCGCGATAGAGCAGTTAAAAGTGCATTTCAGCAGCACTTTTTTGCATAAAATTAAAAGTTTATTAAACAAAAGTGCCCATTGGCAGCTAATTTTTATCGCATCGTGTTCCCCGTATTTTATTTGATTTTTCCACCAATTATGGGCCGATTTGGACTCTGTGACCCCGCAACCTCTACATGTAAGTAATGGTTGCGGAGCTTTCGGCCTGAGAGAAACGTCGTTGTAATTTTAAAATAAATAATATTGTCTAATTTCAGATGCCCCTACCTGCACCGTGTCAGCGGCGACGTCGAGCGAAAATACCATTTACGCTACTACAAGACGGCCCAGTGCGTGCACCCAACAGATGCCCGGGGCCAGTGCGTGAAAAATGGGGCGCACTGCGCGTTTGCGCATTCCCAACAAGGTTAGTAGACTTCATCTAACGTTTTGTTGAATTTTTCGGAACGTAACATTGCGTTGTTGCATAAAAACGGAACGATACGGCTTTTTCATACCGTAATATTACCATATTTCTCTTCCAATACTGTCATGATTCATTTAAGTGGCTAGAAATCCGAAAAATCAACTCCCTCCTCCCACTAGGTCTCGACAAATATGCGCCATAGCGAAAAAACTAATCAAAGCTCGTTAATTTTTGCTGAAAAATGTTTTAGGTCCGCTAAATTGCGCCTGGTTTAGAGCCGCCCAAATTTGTCTAGACCTAGTCAGCGAGAAGCGTCGAATCCTAGCCCTTGATCGTTCCTTTAAACCGCAAAATCCAATCTAAACGCGTTTTCCAGACCTCCGTCAACCCCAACACGACACGAGCGAAACGGCGTACGCCGGCTGCCTCGGCGACACTGACGGCCGTGACCGTACTTCATTCGTCATCGATGATCCGTTGTGGCACCGTGGGTTTTTGGACTGTCGTAAGCTTTTTTATAACAATTAGTAGATGATACCTTACGCTGCATACGTACCTAGCAACCGATTACGCAATGAATTTAGGCCAAGAACACGTGCTATCCTGCTACAAAACCGAGCAGTGCCGAAAACCGGCCAGACTGTGCCGCCAGGGTTACGCGTGCCCCTTCTACCATAACAGCAAAGATAGACGGAGGCAACCGGCCGTGTTCAAGTATCGGTTCGTAATTACGGGATATTCGTGGGTTGCTTTTCCCAAAAAGATGGCGAAAAATGGGCGCTAATTACGGTCTCTAGGGAGGACGTAGGCAAAATTTTTGTTATTGCGGTTTGGATCGGAAAGTCATGAGATTTTGAATTTTACGGTGTTTCTCTTGCGAGATTTGGGTTTCGTGGACTTAATTTTTGCATTTTAAGCCTCAAAAAAATTATTTGAATTGATTTTCAAGCGAGTTTTTGTGGTTTTTTTGACGAGATTTGCCTTCAATGACCCTTTAAAAGCTATTTTTATCAATTACGAACGAACAATTGAATTTTTAAAACTTTTAGAACGCATTTTAGAACAAATTGGCAAAACCTTTGCGCAGCTTCTGCCAGAGATGCCTTCGATGATCCTTTAAAATTTAACGTAGTAACTAAACTCAAGAGTTGTAAGCTTTAACATTTTTAAATCCAGATTTTCAAGTGTTTTTAGCCATTTACGTAAATTTTTCGGAATTTCAAGATTTTTCGGCCAAAGCCAGCTTTCACCAGTCCCTTAAACCGTCAATTTTTCAGCTCGACCCCGTGCCCGGCGGCGAAAACCGCCGACGAGTGGCTCGACCCGGAGCTGTGCGAGCAGGGCGACAATTGTGGATATTGCCACACGAGAACCGAGCAGCAGTTCCATCCCGAGATCTACAAGAGCACCAAGTGCAATGATATGCTAGAGGTAAGTAAGTAAATTAATATAGTGCGATATAAAGGGCAAACTAGCGTAGATTCTTTGCGGAAATCTCTGATTTTCCTTGAGTCGTGTCAAAAAGTATGTATAACATTCCATATTTCAGCACGGCTACTGCCCTCGAGCTGTCTTCTGCGCGTTTGCTCATCACGACTCGGAGATGCACGTTCAGAGGACCCCGTACGCCTACACCAGCCAAAATTCACCGAAAGAACACGGCAGTCCGGACTACCGGCTTGGTTCTCCGGCCGCTTTGAACGGCTCGACGAATGGGTTGAACTTGAATGGAGGATATCAGGTTGGTAATGACAGTACGTAAAACACTTTTTAACGATGCAGCATTTCCTGATTTTTCTGAACGCCCGCTAAATAATGGATTTTTCAGAACATGGTGAAATCTCGAGCCCAAGCGATACCAAACGGTCGTCCCTTCTCCTCGAGTCGTGACGATCTGATGTCAAGCAGCTATCCGAAAGCACCCGGGTTTGAGCGAGGACCACTTTCGGTGAGTCTAAGTGACCAGAACTTGCCTACTCTCTCTCGCGCTCTCTCTCCTTCTCTCTCCTTCCCTCTCCCTTTCTTAACCTTCAAAAACTGCTTATTTCAGCCCAACTGTCAAGCCGACCAGCGTATCCGAACGTACTCGCTGAACATTGGCACTTTGGACATGGCAAGAAGAGGTAAGTTGAAATTTCGGTTTTGACGGCGCTTTTTTTGGTGCCCGGATCCCTTTAAACCCCACTTTTCTAGCCGCCATGCTCTCCGGCCAATGGGGCGCCACCCAGGGCGACACCGGCGGCCTGGCCAACGCCTCCAACCTGTGCAGATCCGACTCCGGATTCCATGCGGTGTCGTCGACGATGGAGGAGCTGAGCCTGGACTTGGCCCCCATTGATGAGCACCGGGACACCAACAAGTTTTCAGACATCTTCAGCACGTCATGTAAGTAGCTTTAAAGATTAATCCGCGCTCTTAAAGCGCCGGAAACTCTATAAATTGCAGAAAAACCATGTCTTTTTAGTGCCATCTCCGATGAACATTGGCGGACCGGGGCGTGGCGGTCTGCAGATGGACGGCGCGGGCCCACAACCATTCGTGGCTTCACCTTTTGGCCAAGACGGCACCCAAGCCCTCTTCCAACAACCACAGAAAATGATGCACTCTCCCGGAGTCTACCGCCATTCCAAGGATTCCCCGGGCAACCGAAACATCCACATGGTAATTTTTAATGGATGTAAAGGGAACGGAAAGGCAAATTTTGATCGTTATTGAGTCTTGGCTAGCCTGTAATTACCCGGGTTTCCCTTGGGAAAATGAACACTGATTTTGGGACGACCTAGGCAGACTAGCCGTGATGATTTAAGAAGATTGGTTTACGGGCTAGGCAGCTAGCAGAGATCCTTGAGGAAAATCAGGAATTGGGTCGCGGCTTTCCTAAAAAAGGTGCGCTAGCACAGAGCATTTTGGAAACAAAAACTGTATCTAGCGCAGTTCAGACACAAGGGCGAGCTAGCAGAGATAATTTGGGGAAATTGAATGAAGCATCTGGCAGAGGTTGTTAACCTGGGGCGAAATAGCAGAAAATCTTTGAGAAAGGTGAAAAACTGCCAAACTTTAAAAAGTGAAGTCGACTTTGAAGTCTGATGAACTAGCAGAGGTTCTTGGGGATGCCTAAAAATAGAATAAATTTTATAATTCTAGCCTAAAATTCTCAAGCAGGCAAGCTAGCAGTGATTCATAGGAAAATGATTCAAATATACGGCTAACGCAGCTTTTTCGGTCAAATGGGTCAGAGCAAACTAGCAGAGAACCTTGAGGGATTCAGGTTTTTGCTAATCCAATTTTTTTCTAGACAACCCAATCCAAGACTACGGCATGACGAACGGCCAGGGAAGAGTTGAAGAGAAACTGGCTGAAGCCCAAATCGCCGCCCAGACATGGAAGAGCAACTGCGACTACTACAAGATGATGGCCGAAAAGGCGGCATTCGAGAGGGATCAACTGCTGCAACAAATCGAACGCATGCAAATACAAGGAGGCCCGGTTGGCCAGAACGTCGACTTCAGCTCACCGCCACCGCCCACCAGCAGTTATAACCTGTTTGGGGTGAGTTTTTGGAATAAACTTGTTAAAATTAGAAACTTAATTATCCACTCTATGCAACCGGGGCAAGCTAGCAGAGACCCTTTGAGAAAAACAGGATTTTTGGCGGAACGTCTGGGGTCTGGAAAAATCCCTCTTTTGCAATTTTGGAAAACAGGCTAGCAGAGATCCTTTGGTAAACACAAGATGGATAGCAGAAAATCGTAAAAATAATGAAACTAGCAGAGACCATTTAGGAAAGGCAATAGAGCAGTACTCCTTGGCGGAAATTTGCGCTTAAAATAACTCAGAAATGTATTCACGGACATGGCAAACCAGCAGAGATCTTTGAGGAATACCGGCGCCACAAACTTACATATTCATTTGTGCGTGATTCGGGGCAGGCTTGCCAAGATTCTTTGTGAAAATTCGAACAGACGAATCGATTATGCCATGAAAACCTTAATCATTCGGTTTCAGAACCCAACCGACGACGTGTGGAAGCCGCTCCCAGTCCCCGATTCTCCACCTCAGAATCAATGACGCCATGAAAACCTATGTACATAATCTCTGTATCCAACCCCTCTCCCTTCCCAATGCTCTCTCGCTCTGGCCCTACCTGACCCGAAAATTCTTAGCAAATTCACTTCCTTTTACCGACAATTTCTAGCCTTAAAAAATTTTTAACGATTTTTTGAAGGGACAGTTAAGTATTTATGGATTTTTGAAGCTTCCCAGTCCCTTTAAAAATTCAAATATGTAGATTTTGCTTGAAATGTCAATTTCTATAGGCTATATCCCACTAAAAAATAAATTTTCAAGGAAAATTTATGCAAATTAGGACCGAAAACCCCACCGAAAAGTATGTGTGTATTTTTGTATATGCTAATTCTATATATGTTCTGTGTTTCTAGAATTACCCAATCTTTTAGCCGCCCACCCAGCGAATCACCCCCAAAAATTCAAAATCTAGGATCTTTGCAATTTAATGTCGAAATTTTTGTCGAAAACCCTCAAAATTGATCAACCAAGTAGGCGCGAAATTCTAAAAAAATTAATTGTATGCTAATTTTATACCTTTTACGCTTTCACCGAACCTGGCTAGCCCCGCAAAAATACCTCCCGATTTTTGTAAAAATTCAAATTTATTTTTTCGCGATTTTTTTAACGTTTTTTGGCAATTTTCTGTACGTTTCACACACACCGTTGAACTCGTTAGGCTTTTCAAAATCGATATATGTATACCAATTTTTATGCTAATTTTTATACTACGATTTTACGTATATTTTTGCGTCATTTGTACAGTTTAGTTGGGATATGTTAATTTTACGATTTTTTGCACTATGGCTTTTTGAGTTGTACGTTTTTGTCCTGCGTAGTTCGGCCCCAATTTTGATTTTTGTACTTTATACTATTCCGTAATTTGTCATTCCTTGTAGTTGATTTATGATTTATTGATTACACTTTTTGGAAATTCATCTTTTGTTACATAATTTTGTTCTATGCTAATTCTAGTTACGGATTTATAATTTTCAATTCCCGGTACGTACATTATTTTATTTTTTTTCAGACTAGTAGCTACGAAAAATTAAGAACTTAATTTTTAACCCTTTTCAGTTGATTTAACTTTTTAAAGAGATTGTGAAGGCAGGAATCTATAATTTCAGCATTTGGGAAAAAATTTCTAGATGGTTTTTCAAGCCAAAATACGTAAATGACATCTGAAAAACCCATAGAATTTTCGAGAGTCGTCTGCCTATAGATTCCCGGCTTCACAGTCCTCTTTAAACCACTTATTTTGCAATTTTCACCCCTCCCCCACGCGCGCCGAACGATGAATACGCTTGAAGCTGGTAGCCCACCTAAAAAATACTTGTTTTTTTCTTTTCCCCACACCCCACCTACCCTCCATCATCTATCTCCTATACTTGGCCGAAACGTGTTAGTCACTCTCCAAGCTACCCTTCCTGTTAATATTAATAAACTATTTATTAATGAAAAATGGTTGACAATGCAAAAAATAGATATACATGTAAAAACACACACACTCTCTCTCTCTCGCTCTCGCTGTCTCTCAGTTCCTCCTCCTCACTCTCTCACTCTTTCTCTCTATCTCTTTCTTTCGCTAATTATGGTTTCTCTCGCTTTCTCGCTAGCTCTGGCTAAGTCTAGCTGTCGATCAGCTTTCCCTTGCTTCCTCGCTGTTTTTTTCTACTTTCTGCCCCTCTCTCTCTCTCTCTCTCTCTCTCTCTCTCTCTCTCTCTCTCTCTCTCGATGTCTCTCGCTGCCTCGCTGTCGCTCGCTTTCGGGCTCTCTCTAGCTGTCTCTCGCTTTCTCTCGCTTTCTCGGTGTCTTGCGCTTCCTCGCTCTTACTCTCTCTCTCTCTCTCTCTCTCTCTCTCTCTCTCTCTCTCTCTCTCTCGCTCTCTCTCTCTCTCTCTCTCCCTCTCTCTCTCCCGCTTCCAAAACCAAATAATTGCGCATCTTTATGCCGACCTTAAACCCACAATGCATCACACAAATTTTTGTAAGCAGTTATACAAAACAACGAAAAGAGTGAATTCAGTCATTAACAGGTGGACGAGGCGGTCCCGGGGCCCTCACTTCGTCTCGTACATGTCCTAAAACAAGGATGGATAGGAAAAATACGGCTTCACCGCACCTTTAAAATGTCGAACTGGACCTTCACGCGGCATTCCCCTTGCGCGACACCGTAGTGCTCGGACCAGGCACCCTCGGCTGTGCAGCCTGAAAATTTGGATTTAAAGGGAGCACGATAGCGATGAAAAACGAGACTGAGAATGAACAGCGATAGTGAGAGAGTGATAGAGAGAAAGAGAGAGAAAGAGGAGCAGCGAGAGATAAAGAGTGAGAGAGAGCGAGAGGGATTTCGGATACCTTCCGGTGCCGGGATATGGTAGATGCCGAAGAAGTGGCGCTCCTCGCTGGGCAGCTCCCCGTCTTTTGGTCTGAAATATCGGAGTTTGGTGAGGAAATTTACTGGTGAAACCCATAAGCTCTTTAAAAATAAGCGGATTGACGATTTTTCAGCGACGATGGGAAATGGAAAATCAGGTCCCACTTGAAGTCGACCTCGATGACCGCCTCCTGCTTGTAGTCGAGTAGCCCCATCGGCGGCCTAATTTTGAACAGATCGTTCCGTGAGCATTTTACCTGAAAATGAGGGCCGTGGTCAAAGGCTCTTTGCTAGCTTGACAAGCAAGACGATCTCTATAAGAATGAGAAAAATTCCGCGAGTCTCAAAGCAGTCATGCTGGCTTGCCCTCGCATAATCCTGACTCACCCGCAAAAGTTGGATGCTCTCTCTCTCTCTCTCTCTCTCTCTCTCTCTCTCTCTTTCTCTCTCTCTCGTTCTCTCTCTATCTCTATCTCTCTCTCACCTTTCTAAAAATGGCGCTCACTTTAAAAGCCTGCCGATAGTCGCTCTTGTTCCTGAGCTTGAAGGTGGCCTTGATGTGCCCCTTTTGGTCTCGATGGAAACGGATCTGCAACGCTTCTCTCACAAACAGTCTCTTCAGCCGGGACGACTCCGGAAAATAATGGACAATCAAAACTAGAGAATATTCCACTTACTCCGCCCATCGGGTCGACCTGCAGCAGAAATTTCTTCGTGTCGATGCTCATCGTCTGGCAGGGGTGGTGTGGGGGGAGCAGGAGGACGGGACGATGGGGGAGAGGGGGGTAAGAAATGATCCAGAAAAAGGAAAAGGAGCGTTCGTCTTTCGAGGCAGGAAATTCACATTTGCTAATTGGCATGATTTAAATCAGGTGATTTCGGTTTCCAGGGACCGTAAATTGGGTCAACTAGGTCATTTTAAACCCTGTAAAATGGAAAACTTTGCTAAATTCAAGGTGAAAGCGTGTACGGAAGTAAGGAAGCAAGCAAGTAAGTTACATACTTTCGGACACCGCAAAATAGCATAAAATAGTAATCTTAAACAGCCGTAAATTTGAGTTCTTTGAGCACGACTTAATTCATGCTTGACTTGAATAGATTTAAGCACGACCTAATTCGTACGCAAGGCGAAACTGGTCCGTACTACGCTCGTTGTTGTGGCATCTCACTTTTGGTCGGTTTTCTTGGGCCTTGTCGGAAATGCAAGCCAAAATGCTTGAATTTTAAAGACCAGTAGACCCAACGCTCTTGCTCTGGGCTTTAAACTGACCGAAGCACCCCCGTTTATCTGGGTACCTAGCATACCAGATTACGTAACTTCACGGGCCCTACCCACCCTCCGCCCCACCCGGCCTATTTATTTGACACCTGATCTGGTGACCCCGGAGCGGCACTATGCTTGGCCCTTCTCGATGGCTTACATAAGGAACCTAAAAAGTCATTTCATTTAGCTAAGTCTGACCGTAAATTTGAATACAGGTTTTGCGATTTGGCGTATGTTTTATTAGCAAAATCCCGATGGTTAAGGTCCTTAAGTCGCGGTTTCTATTTATTCAAAATCACCAGCTTTTTGACGCAGAAAAGTTGTTTTGCAGATGTCACTGAGGAATGTTTACGACCTAGACCTGGTGTAAACAAATATTCGACGATTTCCGCTAGATTACGGTAGTTTTCGACCAAAACCCATATGGATAGGCTTGAAAACCTTTGGTGCGACAAGGATAAACAAAAATTCCTCGATTTCCCAGGCTTACGGTAGTTTTCTCCCAATTTCCCCATCTGGTCGCCCCATCCGGGGGCAGAAAAACAGTATTCGACAGCTGCGACGCTCGCGCTCCGCCCCTCGACTGCCATTTACAGCACTTGCTTGCCTTCATTTTTGAGGGTCTACCAACGAAAGTTTTCCGCATTTTTTAGATAATCTAATTTATATCGCAATTGCTTATAGGTGGCAATGGGAGCAAAACATCGCGCGTAGCAGCCCTCCCAAATTTACCCTATACCTATAGTCAAACTTCCGCTGATCTGGTGACACGAATTCAGCAAAAGACTTATCCCGTCTTGAATCAAATAGCTCAAATTTTGCACAAGGGATCGCTGCTAGCTTGCCCTGTATACAACGCAGTTTAATTTTGACTTGAAAACATGTTGAACACGTATCGGTCCAGCCTAACCTTTTCCTGGATCTGTCCTTAATAAGTTGTTTTACAAAAAAACTCATCATTTACGTCTTATTTTTGTTTACCAATTTTGCTGTTTATTGATCGGTGTTGTTTCTGCCGTTCGCCTGAGCACCTCGGCTGCCCTTTCGGGACACGATTCAAATGCTCTTTTCCACGCCAAATTTCTTGTCCGATCGGCCAGGGTCCGCGGCACCCTGTGAATCATCCAAAAAGACGTTTGGGTGGGACAGGAGCCCTTGCTCCAAAAATTATTCAACAGAGCTCATTTTTTAGCGCTCGATTTGCCATTAGACTTGAAAAATTCAGTGTAACTCTTTTTGCTAGATTTTAATGGAACGGCAGGCCTAGGGCACAAGGTTCTTTGTGGTAAGCTTTTTCAACCGATTCTTCTATTAATTTATTTTCGTTGCAAATTTTTATGGTCCAATGATGCAACCAAAACTTGACAAATAAGCGTATCAATCATGCGCAGATGCCCCTCTTCAAACAAGCATAACATACCCGATATGCCCTCCGGTCATCTCTGGGTGCCAGACACAAGGGGGTTGCCGCATTCACTTCATATCTTCACGGGTTTTGTTGCCATCAATTCGAATTTTTTTGTTTTGTTTTGACTTTTTATAGCGATTACTAGGGGTCTCTTCGTTTCCGTTTTATGTTTTTAAATTCATGGAATCCTATGTGTGTTGTAAGTTTTTGCCTAATTCATTCAAGCTCTAGCCGAACTTCCGGATTGAAGGCAATCTATATCTTTTTTAATCCAATCGTAAATATACCTTAAATGTCAAGAAACCACCATTTGTTTCATGATTTAGTTTTTGATTTCCATGACTCACAGCTCCTTTAGCCCAGCCCCGGATGCAAAGAGGCGATATCTTTTGATCTAATCATCGGATGCCGGTGCCAAAATAATCAGATTTTTCTAGATAAGGAAAGTGTGCCAAAAGAAAGGGTGATGATGGCATGAGATAAAAAGTTTCCAATGGCTAGGAATCGATCAGGCAAAAGAAGAACTATTTTTGCAGCATTTGCGATTAACATAGAATTTTTTTACTTGGAATATAAACCTAACTATAAATCCTTCTTTTTCTCTTTTGAAGCATTTTTAAATCTTCTAAGAATTTAACAAATATGAAGGGAAGCTAAATTGAGCAATACAGGTTGTCCCAAAACAAACCAACCATCTGGCATTGCGCCGTGTTACATTCAACGGGCCCAAATTTTGGAACAGTGGTGTATCAAACCCTAAATAACAACAACCAGGGTTGAAAAGCCGCTTCGCGACTTTTCAACCCTGGCCCCGTCTGATCCCATGATATTCTTGGCTTTGCATAATTTTCCCGGATTCGGATGACGAAAAATGAAAAATGCTCTTGTCGTCCCTTTATATAGGCTACCGCGACTTCCGGCGTATGCTAATTGTTTCCTAACAAAGAGGGCCCTGGATTTTTCAACAATAACTTAATTTTAACGTCGAAAACAGTAAATTTTTGAAAATTTTATTGGTGTGCAGTCATCCCAAGGCCATTACGCACCTAATGACGTATAAAACATACCCCTACCTACTCCCCTTATTGAGATACTGCTGGAACACGCTGACGGAAGTTGCATGCAAAATGGCACACACACACACAAACACTATTTTTTTATATATAGTAGGATCCTGACTTATAGCCCCGTAGCTACAGTCGTTCTCGAGTTATAACGAAAATACTACTCCCGGAATTCTGAACAGTTTTTTTCGGCTATCTTTTTGGATTATGCATCGATTTGCATCGATTTCCGGCTGCGAATCCCTAATTTCGCTTAAGAACCTCGGTAATTTTGCGTTGTGAAAATCGCTTAAATCGAAGCTTATTTAACTAATTTTACTCTGAAAAAATTTCTTAAGGTAAAGAAGGCCTACCGGATCATTTTCACTTAACGTTTAAGGGGTCAAATTCCACGAAAACTCCATGAAAAATAGAAAATAAGTTTGTTTTGGCCATAACTCGAAAACAACTGTAGCTACGGGGCTATAAGTCAGGATTGTTGTTATTTAGGGTCTGACACACCTCTGGTCCAAAATTTGGGCCGATTGGATGTAACACAGCGAAATGCCAGGTGGTTCGTTTTTTTGGGACATCCTGTAGTTTTATTTTAATCCAGTGTTCTCAGATCTGCAAGGCCCTGTTTTCCTTAAGTGCTTCTGCTGCCATTCCATCGAGCCCACAGTTTTCAGTGATAAAATCGATGCATCCGGATTTTTTCGCCCGCTCACCGCCCCCGGGCTCCATCTATTTCCAAAATATTTGCCGCCGGCACTCTCGGCCGGTTGAAATGGATTTCCTTTACCAGACTCGCTGATCTGATTCTGCTTTCATCTGATGCAATTTTTTTGGCTTTTAATTCAATTTATTCAGTCTATATAAACTTGAAAAACCCCATTGTATCAAAGGCCTATCTGATCAGGCGTTATTTTTTGTTTACGCTATGATTTTCCTCTCGTGTTTTTGGATAAAAAAACGCGTGGACAATGTATTGATTTTGAGTTAATAAAATGTGGCGTTCTATTCTATGAGCAGCCCTATTTTCATAAAACCTGATCTTGATCTTATTACGTTTTTCAAAAATCATGGTTCGCGTAATACTGGCGTTTTTAGGAAACTCTCCATACGACGAACACCTTATGCCGAATGTTCTTTCCGACGCATACTGTTGCTAGTAAGTGACAGATCAAAGGTGTTGTGAAAAAATACTACAGGCCAATCTTCATAAAAACTGGAGATAGCTGTGGACCCCACGAATTTTTTTTGTCATGTCGCTACGTAATTTTACTAAAGCTAAACGTGCTCGATCTTTGTGCTTAACTTCTACGCCTCCCGAGTTTTGCGAAATTTCTCTGCGTAATCAGGTATTTCCATGATATACCGGAACAATGTTCGAACTTTGGCTTTAACGGGTCAGTACGGTAGAATTGGTGCGTATTTTTAGCTCTATTATTGGCTTAAGGTTATGGGACACGCCGCGCGGAGTGCAGAGATGTCCGATTTTCACGTTTTAGGTATCTATCGAAAGCTCTCGACGTGCGTGAGGAGATATGTTCTTTCCGATTTTCAAAATTCCCGAATTTTTATGACACTTGTTAACATTTTTGCGAAATTGGCTGAATTTTCGATGCTTTTCCCATGCAAGTATTTTTAAAAAAACCCCCCATTTTCCAAATTTCTACATTTTTCTGGAAGTCTAAGGCCGGCCTTTTGAAAGGCATTTGAGAAAACACAGCTTGGATGGGACTGAAAACGCTTAAATTGAGTTTTTGCACAAAATTGCGGAATTTATGCCCAAAAAACGATGAAAATCGGGTTAAAAATTCGGGAATTTCGAAAATCTGAAAGAACGTATCTCCTCAGCTCGTCGAGAGATT